AGCCATTATCTTGTGAAGAGTTGTAGTTTATTCCCTACTGAAAGGAGAGGAGGTGGTCCTGTCTCAGACTTGCTGACGCCCACAGCCGTGAAAAGGGTGGGGCGAAGCTGTAAGTCAGTGGAGCAAGTGGATTGTGACATTTGCAAAGAGAACGCACAGTAGGAATTTAATCACCTCATTCGCCAATACAACATTCCCTTCCCAAGAGCGGACTCTTTCATGACATTATGGTGGCCTCCTGGAGACAGCCTGGCGTGAGGTTCCAGGTGACGTTTAGGAATCCCCCACTCACCTGTACTCTATCTGGCTGTCATTTATTCTAAAAATCTAAGCAGGGGTTCCACGGCGTTCATAGTCTCTTTGAAGTAAAGTACTAGATACAGAGAGCCATATCAGTTATCTAATCACTGATACTTAAGTGAAATGCTACGTATTCACTAGCCAATATCCGTCAGCATGAATTTAGTGAGCATCCATTGAACATTAAGGACAATGAGTAGGATTGTGGGGAAAGCTAGGGGAGTAAAAGCGATTCATTCAATTATTCATCAAGCAGTTACTGAGTAGCTGATATGTTTCCGGCACTCACTGTGCTGGGTGCCAGGGCTTGTAGGACTGGCATTACTGTTCTTCCTGGCGAAGCTCGATTCACACGGAAGACACTCACGGGGCAGACTGAGAGCTTTTGCTTAGCTCCGAAAGACATATCACAACACCCGGGCGATAAGAACACTGAAGATCCATTTACAAGCTAGCAGCTTGTCAGGAGGTTGACGCCGAGGTGTCAGTAGAACTGCGCACCATAAGGGCTTCAATGGTTTGTTTTTTGGGGCAGAACACCAGGCTTTTCTTTTCCCGCGCCCCTGGGTAGATTCGAACCTGCAACCTTTTGGTTAGCATCCAGTGACAGGCAGGAACCTTAAGGAAAAAATGTGTGGCCCTCTACTAAAAACCTACATATTAATAAGCCATGCCCATAAATGAAAGGGTCCTTCCTAAGACATCAGGAGGTTTGGGGAAGAAACAGACCCAAGCTTGATGCACCGTGAAGACTCAAAACTTGGGTCTGCATAGTAAGGGGCAGCAACGCTCTACTACGTCATGCACACGCTGGAGTGTATCCACTAAAAATCCACACAGCCACGCCCTCTAAGTGGATGTGGGCGGGGATATGTGTGGAGGCGTGGCCTCAGCCCTCTGGTTCCACACACTCCTCCCCTCCCTGAGTCTCTGCGCTCTTTCTGGAGCTGCCAGTTCTCGCCTCCTGTCTGCCATCCCTCCTTTCCTGGTCTCTCCGCGCGTCTGAGATGGCCCGTTCTTGTCCGTGAGAACACCATCCAACGCTTTCTCATCGTGCTTCTGCCCTGAGAATTCTTCCTGCACAGAGAAGCAAGAACCGAGGAAAGCCAGCCCAGAACCGAACACAAAGCATTTAGGAGATCAGCTTCCTGGGCCTTACAAACCTCCACAGGGTATGTCTGTTGAACTGATTCCCTTTGATAGCGCATTTGGAATAATTTGGATAGCAATTTTGCGTGTGTGCCCTGTTAGTGGAAAATTGTAAGGGTAGAAACAGTGCAATTCCATTACCATGCCCTGAGAGACAAGGAGGGCGAGACTTGATCTCGCCTCCTTTGGACTTGTTTTCAGGACAGGCTAATCTCTGGGGAAGTACACTGCGCTTGGAAAGGCAGAGGGGCCCTGACAAAGGGAGGCCTGCCACGAGATGGCACAACAGTGGGCTTCCTAGGGACAGTTTTGAAGACAGGGCAGGAATGATGGCCTTTCTTTCTTGTGTATACAGGGTCCCTGTGAAGCAGAATCGACCTTACAGCAGCTCATAATAACGGCCACATTTAGTATAGCAAGTTTCTGCCCTTGTGAGCTCCTCTCTACTATTCCACCTTTAAAAAAAAATAAACCATATTATATCTTGCTTATTAAGACTAAAAATTCAAATGCGCTGCCACCGAGTTAGATCTGACTTGTAGCAACCCTATAGTAGAACTGCCCTTGTGGGTCTGTGAGGCTGTAAATCTATATGGGAGCAGAAAACCTCATCTTTCTACCATGGGGTAGTTGGTCGTTTCAAACCACTGACCTTGTGGTTAGCAGTTCAACACATAACCCTTTATGCCACCAGGACTCCGTTTGTTAAGAGCAATTGATTTTTACCATTGGTAGCCCTAATGCCCAGGAAGCCAGTCATCGTGAAAAGCAAAACTTATGCAGGAAAAAATATGCACTGTGGCAGGTGATAGGGAGACATATTAGATTCGGGAACAATTGTAAAAAGGTATTTTAGATTTGTTTTCCCTCCAGCCTACAGACTAACACGTATGTGCTGCTGTTACCACCGGGTCAGGTCTAATTCGGTGGCCTTATGTAAAACAGATGTCCGGTCCCGCACCAACTTCATAATCAGAATACACATCACATTTCTAGAGTAAAAATTGGTCGCTAGGTTCTATTTTAAGGCCTGCTTGTAAATTGGTTGTTTGGATTTGATACACCCCCAGAGAAATCGCTTTATAAAGAGTCTAGTTTCCACCTCCATTCCCAACATACAGGTAATTTATAATAATGAATTATTAGTCATGCAAGTATAGTAATTTTTTTTCACTGCAGCAGCTGCTACATTAGTGACGATGCACACATCCTATATGGATTTTTAAATCTGTTTTCATTTTGAGAAGAATTAAGTAGGAGAATTAATATAGCCATGTTCTCCATCCTCTTAATGAGCACCCTGCTGTGTGATTCTACAGCCTGTGTTTGGATTATCTTCATAGTTGTGCTAACCTTGGGTTAGCAACAGATTAAAAGTCCCAGACTTTTACTATGTTGGTTAATAGCTGGCCGTCAGTTGGCTGGCTTTCTTTAAGGTTACAATGACACAAATATCCCACATCGACTATTAATTTGCATGCTGATATTTACTTGTTATAAGACAAAACTGCGACTTTCCCTGTGAGACACAAACCTGAAACCTTTATACAAGCAGACTGCCACAGCTCTCTCCAACAAAGGACCTGGTGGGTTTGAACTCCCAACCATTAAGGTAACAGCCAAGAGAGGGTGGATTCACTGGGCCACCAAAGCTCCTTCAAATAAAATGTAGGTTTAAAACTAAAATGACAATATAGTAGACTAGTGTTGCATAGGAATGACAAAATCACAAAGGCAGACAAGCTACATGAATAATAAATTCATGTTAAAGGACAGGCCAGGTTGTATGATGGAGCTGGGTAGACGAAGGCTTGCAGTAGTTAGAATAGAGCAAAATAGAGGGATAATTCATCCAATGCACAGCACATTGTAAACGACTCAACAGCAATGACCATATTGCAGCAGCCACACCACGCTTGCTTTGTGCTAAGAAAGATGACGACATCTTTGTGCAGCTAACATCAAAGAGTCAGCAAGCTATCAGATGGAAGTGAAGATTGAATGAAATCCCTTTCTCCATTGGTAATTTATTAAATGTTAGGGTTCTGCCTAGGGTACATTGGTAAAGTGATTGCTTTTTCAAAACTAGTAGTTCAGTACTTATGTTTGCTCTAAAGTTGCATATGACATTTGTAACATGTCTCATAGAAGTCCAGATTACTAGCTCTTTCCTTCTTAAATCAGTAACTATGACAACTCTAGGCCCATTGTCCCCGTGGTAATCATAATGGGCTAGAGGGAAACAGGGCTGTTTCTTACAAAGGCCCTGATTCTTGCCTGCACATTTTCAGCATCTATTTTATAAGCAAGAGCTTATAAAATGAGCTTCTGCTTCTGGGCCTAAAGCAATAAGTTATACATCCTATAGAACTCCTATGTCAGTAGGAAGGGTTCTAGGTAAAGGGGCTAGCTCATAAAATAGTGTCTGGGGTCTTAAAGGCTTGTCTCCGAACAAGCAGCTATCTAAGTGAGATGTCAACTAAGTCCACATGGAGGCAGCACACCCTCATCAGTCAGCGAAGGATTGGCATCCATATAATCCGAAATCGAAGGAGGGATTAGTATCAGAGCCTAAATTGTAAGAATCTGGTGTGCAGAAGGCGATGGATGAGCCCAAGATTCATTTGTGGAGCCCAAGATTTATTTGTGAAACAAGATAGGAAATAAGCCTCTTGAGAACTCCCTCTATTTAAGATCGCGGGATGGGAAGAAGCTGGTCACTAAACAGAGTGCTTGGGAGATCAAAGGTATAAATCTGACCTGAACACTTAACACTTTGTCGTTAGATTCCCCCTATGATGTAGGCTGGACCTGATCTGGGTTCCAAAATTTTCTGTGTGTTTGGTTTGTCTTGTCTTGTTTATTTTTTGTTTGTTCATATGATAGTGTATCTCAGAGGTGTTATGTCAGTGGAGGTCACCCTCGTGAAGCTGTGTGATAAGCTTTTCTGTTTTTTGGTATTGATGAACCTATAGGGACAGCAAGTAGAACAAGGAGTTTGGGGGGAGATGATGGGGTGTAAAAGGGAGATGGTGTCAAGGAGTGCTTGTAGAAAAAGAATGTTTGGAAACTGATTATGGTAGTAATTGCACAATATCATGTGGTGTGATTGAAGTATGGAACTATATGCTATATGTATTAAGTCCCAATTAATAATTTAAAAAAGAGTGAGAGCCAGAAAAGTGGGGGAGCTGTCTATCTGCAGGTATTATTTATAAGACAGATGTTTACGAGTAGAGGATTCTGCTGCATGCAATGCCACTCCTGTAGGCCACCACATCCTGTTGTCTTTTTAATCATTGTTTAGTAGCTAATTTGAAATGGAAACTAACCTTTAGGAGCCCATTTCTAGATGAATTGACTGCATTCACCCACTCAGAGGCTTGCTGAGTTAGAAGGAATCTTAATGTTCTCTCTCCTTAGCTACCCTGACCCTCCCCCAGCCTCCCCAGTCCAGAAGGCCTCCTGTCCTGTTATTGCTTGGTATTCATTTTTACTTCATTAATATTTAAAGATCATTGCCGTTTTTCACTGAAAAGGGCAACACTTACCACCAACCATGCAAAGGTGAAGTCAGACGAAATTTCTGAAGATAAGTTTTGAAAGCATGGTATTTTCAGAGTCCCATTTATCTCGATTTCTATTGTGTGGTTACTTCTCCACTCATCCTGTGCGACTACAACAAAAGATAAGGGGGAAAAGACATTGCACCTTAATTGGTTTCTAAAATGTTTTTCATTCAAAATACAGTTTTAGTGGACACACTCGTTGCTCATTTATCCGCAGCACACGCCTCTGAGGTGAACCCACTATCAGCCTCATCTTATGCCTGTTACAACGGAGCCACTGCAAACCACAGAGGGCTGCTTATCATGAGATGGTATACCAGGAAACTACTCTGTCAGTATCCAACTCGTAATTTGCCATGATCCTCCCTGTGAAGCGCAGATGAAAGCTTGGGTCTGTCAGTTCCATTTCCTTGATCAGATGAGTCTAACCCTTTATAACCCAGCCTCACACTTTCCTTTTAGAACTGGGAAACATTTCTCCAACGAAAGAATGACAAGGGAAAATACACAGACAAGCTTTGAAGAAGCATCAGTAATGAATTATTTATACTTCTAAGGTAATATGAGAAAAAGTTTGTAGACTCCCCTTTTGAGAAAGACCTGTAAATAAACTACATAAATAATATGAAATAAACTATATTCTTATATGTGGAAATATGTTCATAAATAAACTATAGTAATGTCAAAGGATAATATATAGATTTTAAAAACCCAGTATTTTAAATATCTTTTTCTTAGTACAAATTTTGCATGTAGATATGTATGCTTTCTCATAGTTTGCAATTCTATTTTTCCAACAAATGATATTTGCAGGCTTATTTTTTAACATGCTATTTGAACTGTTGCTGATTGACATATTAGAGGCTTTATATTATTTTATGGCACAGACTTATTATGGTTTCATTTTGATAATTTTAAATTATTGAGCAATAGGTTCTTGCAGTTCGAGTTTCATTTCATTTTAAACAACTCCCTGCTCTGTGGCATGAAAGAGCATGACAGTGATACTTTTCTATTATAATTTTAAGTAGTCCATTTAGCTACTTAAAAGTAAATTGCCAGAATAGAAATAATGGGTTAAAAAGTTGGGATAGACTGAGTGTTACCCATAACAACTAAAACAGAAAAGAAAATGTATCAGGTTATAGATAGATCTAATCTTTAGAACATTGCTATATTTTAATTTTGCAACTGTATCAAGTGTCGCCATCCTGATAATCCCTTCCTCCTCCTCTCCTTAACTGGAGCTTTCCTCATTCATTGCTTCCTCAGTGGCCTTTTCAAATGATGTTGTCCAACACAGGTAAGATGAAGTCTTGCCATCCTTGCCTCTAAGGAGCACTCCGGCCTCACTTCTTCCCACACAGAGCTGTTTGTTCTTTTAGCAGTCCATGGGACTTTCAAAATTCTTTTCCAGCCCCACAATGTAAAAGCATTCATTCTTCTACAATTTTCCTTATTCAATGTCCAACTTTCACAAGCTTATGAGGCCACGGAGGCTGTGGCTTGGGGCAGGCGCACATTAGTCCTCAAAGTAGCATCCTGGCTCCTCAATACTCTAAAGAGGTCTTGGGCAGCAGATTGACCTGATGCAGATGAACTTCTTACACTCTTTAATTCTTCAAGGCCAGGAGACAGGATTGTTATCTTCCATGCTCTCCATTACTGCTCATCAACGATCACCCCAAGCCCATATGAAAACAAATATAAAACCCCAAACTGTTTCCCACTGCTAAAAGCACTTAGCTATAACAGTATTTCTAAATAGAGTGATCTGTGTACCACAGTCATGATTTTGATATCTGCTTCTCAGGAGTCCTACTATTTTAGTATTTCTATTAAATATTTTTGAAATAATTTTAATTTCTTTATTTAAGTACATTTATTTTAAATAGAAACTAAGTTAAGTGTGATTAGCTGCAAAGAACATGAAATTGGTGTGATGTTAAATTTTCATGAATATTTCCCCAATACATCAATATTACAGTGAAAGCTTTTTCTGGATACTGAAACAGTAACAGTAGAAATGCCCCATAAAGGGCGAGAATAATTTTCATAGCAAAGCTGAAAACAATAGACACATCTGAAAGAAAACAAAATCCCAGCACATGCTCATGGTCAGGTGGGAGCAAATCACTACGCCTGTGACAGCAACAACTGTGCAGAAAGGAAGAGAGGAACACCAGGCTGGTTTCTGATAGGTCTCAGAACTAGAGATCCCCAAGTGCAGTGGAGAACAGCTGAAAAGCCACGAGGCCCAATCTGAAGAAAAAAAAAAAAAAGCAACAGAAGTAGGTGAGCGGGTTTGCAGGCGCCAAACCACAATACATTTAAGGCAAACAGGAAAAGGTTTGTCGCATCTGGAGTAGCAAAGCCTTTTAGGACAGACCCTGTGCTGAAGAGAAACCCCACAGAGTAGGATCCCCGTTGAATGAAGACCCCTCCCGTAGAGAAAGTAGAAAAACGACTTAGCTAAACAAGAGGGAAAGGAGCAAAGGGAATAGATGTCGAACAGCACAAAGATATGCTATGTATATTGTAAAGCATGAAAGCATGCCGCCTAGAGATCTTGAAAAACACTGGAAAAATTAGCTTACCCATCTTTCCATGACAAAGATAAAGAAAAATGAGTTTAACTTGAACATGAGCAATGGAAAACAGAAAAGAAACAAGGTAGAATTACATTCAAAGATATTAAAAGGGACAAATGAACGGAGAGTAAAATAACATCCCTCTGTTGTGGTGGTGATTAGCTGCCATCGAGTCTGCGCTGACCCATGGTGATCCTATGGACAACACAACGATATACCGCCCTGTCCTGCACCATCCTCACCATTGTCCCCATAGCTGAGCCCATGGATGCCGCCACGGTGTCAATCCATCTTGCTGAGGGCCTGTCTCTCTGTCGCTGCCCTCCCACTTTACCAAACAAGATGTCCTTCATCAGGGACTGGCCTTTCCTGACAATATGTCCACAGTACGTGAGAGAAGACTCGATATCCTAGCCTCTAAGGAGCACTCTGGCCTTAGTTGCTTCAAGACGGATCAGTTTGCTCTTTTAGCAGTCCATGGTACTGTCCATAGTCTTCTCCAGCACCACAATTCAACTGCATCCATTCCTCTATGGTCGTCCTTATTCAGTGTCCAACTCGCACATGCATATGATACAATGGAAGATACCATGGCTTGGGGCAGGCACACCTTTGTCCTCAAAGTTAACATCCTTGCTCTTCAATACTCTAAAGAGGTCTTGTGCAGCAGATCTACCTAATGCAATCCATCTTTTGAGATCTTGACTGCTGCTTCTATGAGCATTGATTATGGAACTAAGCAAGACAAAATCCATGACAACTTCAACCTTTTCTCTGTTTATCATGATGTTAACTACTGTGTCCAGTTGTAGGATGTTGATCTTCCTTACATTGAATTATAATCCATACTGAAGACCACAATCCTTGATCTTCACCAGCAAGTGCTTCAAGTCCTCCTCACTTTCCACTTGCAAGGTTGTGCCATCTGCATACCGAAGGTTGTTCATAAACCTTCCTCCAATCCTGATACCACATTCTTCATATAATCCAGCTTCTCTGATGATTTGCTCAGCATATAGATTGAACAACTATAGTGAGAGGTTGCAACCCTGACACACATCTTTCCTGATTTTCGTCCATACAGTATTCCCTTATTCTGCTTGCACAACTGCACCCGGATCTATATACAAGTTCTGAATGAGAACATGAAGTGTTCTAAAATCCTCATTCTTCTCACTCTTATCCAGAGTTTGTTATGAGCCACACAGTCGAATGCCTTGGCATAGTCAATTAAACACAAGTAAGCATCTTTCTGGTATTTTCTTCTTTGAGCCAAGGTCCATCTGACATCAGCAGTGATATCCCTGACTCCATGTCCTCTTCATACTCGGGCCTGAATTCACTTCTGGCAATTCCCTGTCAATGTACTGCTGCCACAGGTGTTGGATTGTCTTAAGGCAACATTTTACTTGTGGGTGATACCAATGATATCATTCTGTATCATGAGCATTGTGTTGGGCCACCTTTCTTTGGATTGGGCACAGATATGGATCTCTTCCAGTCACTCGGCCAGATAGCTGTCTTGACCATTTCCTGGCCCAGACGAGTGAGTGCTGTCAGTGTCTCTTCAGCGTGCTGAAACACTTCAATGGGTATTCCATCAATTCATGGAGCCTTGTTTTTGGCTAATGCTTTCAGGAAACCTTATGCATCCCTACCATAATGATCGCATAATAGAAAGGCATAACCACAACATAAATGAAAATTGTAGCCCAACATTTTAGAATAATCCATAATAAAATTACATAACCTGTGAGAATTTTAGAAAACCCAATAAACAAGACATTGGGGTAAACACAAACTATAAAAGATGGGTGACAGAATACTTAAAGAATTGGGAGTTATGCAGATGCAACTAAAACCCAAAATGAGCAGATAAACATGAAAGTCACGTGTTAAGAAAAATAAAGATAACATGAGAAACCTTTAAAAATAAAAATAAATAAAAAGGAATCCCATTTCTGTGGTAAGCACAGAAAAACATCTCAGAGGAGGCACTTAAGAGGGACCAAAGCAATGGAAGAGAATATTAAGAACTATAATTATAGAAGCACATGTTGAAGTCGAAAAATGATTTGATGCAGTGAGTTGGGGGGCATTTGGGGCTGATTGAGATAAAATATGTGACCAAGAGATAAGACTGGTGCACAGCTATTTATTGACAACCCAATCCAGGGGCAGTCCACCAAGCAGGAGGTCGTCTAGAGGCAAGTGGGGCAGCAGGAACAGGAGAGGGTCTGGAAATTCTTGAGTGAAAGGAGAAAGAAGGGGAGGAAAACTTACATATCCTAAGGCAGAAAAAGCAGGGTAGCTCTAGATCACAAAACTGTAAGCAACAGTGCCTTATCATTGCAGGGTTTCATCTCCTCTATCAGGAGCCCTTGTGGTGTAGCGGTTATGTGTTGAGCTGTTAACCTTGAGGTTAGTAGTTTGAAATCACCAGTTGCTCCTCAGGGAAAAGATGAGGCATTGAGTTTGGTTTGGGTTTTTATAAGGACCCTGGTGGCATAGTGGAT